GAGGGAAGATTAGTGGCGTTGTTTTCTGGGAAAAAGGAAAGGGAATCAAAGAGTGATAGGCTAAGAATTGATAGGAAGGAACAGGGAGAGAGGCGTTGCAGAATTTGGGAGGATAACAGCAGCAAAGGCGCAGCCTTTTTCCAGTTTCTGTTGAGTCTTCGCTGAAGATTGTTGCTCCGCCAGTCATTCATTGTTGCCATCCAAAGGAGTAAAGGTAGTTTTTCCTTGTCTATCTTCATTCATGTGTCGTTAATGCTCCTCAGTTTTGTTTGTTTGTTTGATTGACTGTCTTAGAGTGGCAATTTTGAGCCAAAATTCTGTTCTCGAAAAAAAAAAAAAAAAGAGTTCAAAGTGAACAAAAAGTTTTTTTTTTTGTATACTTTCACGTCTGGGTTTTGATGTTTAAATTACAGATATTTTCCTGATGATCCTTTTGCTTGGGTAGTTCTGTCTTGGTTTGAGTTTCATGGATAAAGTTTCGCCGCAACTAAAGTAATATTCTCGGTTTGATGTAATGGTACAAACAAGATCAGATTTTTGTTTCTTTAGGTTGCTGAAACTGTGTTCTGTTTTGGTGTTTGGTGATGACTTGGTGCTGGTTTAAGATGTCATGAATACGTTGTTTCCCTCGTTGCCCAAAAGGAAAGCCACGGCAAGAGCCATTCCTGCCCCTTTTATTTTTTTTTCTTTTCTTACGTTAGAATAATTCTGGTTTTGTTTAGAGTTTAGGTGAAGATTTTTTTTGTATAATGAACTAGTTTTCATAGTTTTCTTTTGGGGCTGGAAGTGAAGTAGCAGGGCTGAAGCCTTTTGATGGTTGCAGCAATGTTTATTATCGGTGTTGCTAAAATTGCCAAAGACATTTTGATTGCTGCATCATTTTTTTTTTGGTGGCCGAGAGTCTTGTCCTCATTTTGGCTTGCTTGTAAAGGTCCTTGTTGTTTCTGATTCGGTCATCCCTTTGTACGCATGATAGGATTTTGAAACAGTTTTTTTTTATTATTTGAAATGTTGGAATGCATATGCCATGTAAATACTGAAGTTCAAGAGCATGGTCTGCTAAAGTATAGAATCATTGATGTCCTGCTAAGTTTTTTTTCCTGTTTTGTTTAAATAAAGTAGCTAAGTTTTCTGGTTGTTTGGTCCAGATGAAGTTGTTTGGATTAGAGAATGTACAATCCAAGTTGTTTTAAAATTCGGCATTTGAACATGGAAGGTGTAGTAAATTTTGTAGTTGTATCCATTGTATCCGTTAGCATTGCATGAAGTATTTTCCATGTTTGCCTGTTTCTTTCTCTATCTTCGTTAATTTGAATGTCAAGTTCATGCTTTGATTGTTTGGTTTAAAGTGTTGGAAGTTTGATTAAGAGAACTTTGGTTAAAATATGTGTTTGAAACTGTTTAATGGTGCTTGAAAAGTGAAGGTTAGTAACTAGTTTTGTTTGCAGAAAATTTCCTCAGATGTTGAATCCTTTTGTTGCCTAAAGCTTGGTTTGCATTCTTATTTGCATAAAAATCTTCTTCATTCTGGTTTTTGCATGCATGATAAATTAGTAGGAATTTGAGTTTGAGATTCGGTCTGAAAGTTTCTTGTAAATCTGTCATGCGAGGTTGTTAAACCTCAAGGCATAAGAGAATAGTTGCAGAATTTTTCTTCATGACATTTGTATGATTTTTCTGTTATGTTCTGGTTTGATTGAATGTTAAAGTTTTTTTTGTAATGTTCTTGATGTTTGATTGAAAGATTTGTGATCAAGTTTGTGTTGAAGTTGACATATGTTTGCGGAAATGAAGGTAGCAAATGGTGTTTTCTAGTTGCAGAAAATTTTCGGCAAGAATGATTGTTGCAGAATGAAGTTTCTTACGTTTGTTGCATGAGATTGCATGAAATAATTTTCACAAATTTCGCCTTGACCCCTCAAGTCCCTTCTTATTCTATTATGGCCAGCATGCCCCAGCAATTGAAAAGATTAATCGATTTAATCCTTCAAAGTTCCTTTTCCTTCCAAATTGGAATCCCATTTGATGAATATGGACTTGTTTGATTATTTGGAGGACTTAATGGTTCAATTTTATAGCTACTAGGGGTTCCTTAAGTTTTGTTTTTGAAGAATTTGTGTTGTTTGATTTACTATTAAATTGGTGCATTAATCCTCTGTTAATGGTTTTAGCCCAAATTAGAACCTTTTCCATTTACTAGCTTCACAAGCGGGGGAAGGTATAACTTTCTTTTATCCTCTTTACTTCTCTCTTACGTGCTCCTACGTGTTACGTGAATATGCATGTCTACTTTGCTTTCTTAATTCCTTGCATTTATTTCATTTACTTTTATTTTTATTTAAGTTATTCATTATGGGGTATGTGTACACCTCTTGGCTTGTAATAGATAGGGCATAGCAAGTAATTTGGTCCATTTTCCCATTCCCTTTTGTTTTAGTTAGCAAATGTAATGGTTGCATGCCTATGTGTTATATGTTAAATGCTTTATTAGGATTTTGCATCTAGTCAAGCATGCTAAGTGTTATGTCCTACGTGTTTATAAGTGATTCGCATGTCTACTCGCTTTTTGTAGTATAGATGAATGGAATGGATGAATGTACGTCACCACACTAGTCCAACGCTAGTTGTGGCTTCTTTTATCGTTTCCACTAGTCCAACGCTAGTCGGAATTCATAGAATGGGCTAGTCCAATGCTAGACCCAATAGGTTCTTTTTTCCCTTTTTCATTAAGTGCATGATCACCACATATCACGCATTTTTCCTTAGTTTATCACTTGGTATGTTCCTCAAACCCCTTCCCCTTCACTTTAGGACTTGCATCTCATGCTAGTTAGGGTTCATTTGCGTGAAAATCCCCTCTTGATAAGGGAAACGAGCGAGTGTGGCTACTCGATAGCCTTAGCACGCTAGTTTTACCTTCTAATCCGAGGGAAAATCAAAGTCGAAAATTAGGCGTCATCCCCGTACCCAATTTGTTGCATTCCTTAGGGACATACTTTCATTTTTTCTCACTTCCATGCTCTTTTAATCACTTTTTCTTTCCACATTTCTCAATCCAAATTTTTCACTATGTTTTACTCATCTTACTCCACAAGTAGAATTCAAGTTTCATATATTTATAATCCTATCTTCATTCATTTGCACACACTAATACTTGATTTTCATCCAAATTCACACGTGCACTTTCCTTACATACTCACACACTAATACTTTGATTTTTCATCCAAATTCACACGTCACTTTCTTTACACATGCGCACACAAAAACTTTGTTTTTTTACACCATTTCATACATGAATCTTTTCATACACTTGCACACTTGCACTTGAGTCACCATTTGCATCAATCGACCTCTATGAGGTTTCCCTTTATTGGCCGCCACAATTCATGTGGTTTGGGACCAAAAACCTCACGAGAGACATCGTAGAATTTAGGATTGCATTTTTCCGTTTTCGCATTCATATAGGCATAATCCAATATGCAATACATACCCTGGGTAGAAAGTCAGGAAAGTTAGGGTTAAGTTACGCAACTAGCCTTGGCTAGGTCAAAGGGGAGCCTTGGAGTCTATCCTTGCCTTCCCCTTTGTCAAACGTGACTCCCGAACCTTTTTCTTTGTTTTACGTAGACTAGGAGTCGTTTTTAAAAAGAGTTTATTATTACTTAATTCATTTTTAGGTGACTTGGTACACCTTAAATCATTACCAAGTGGCGACTCCAAACTTTTCATTTCAACACCCTTTTTAAAACTATTTTTTGGTCAAATCGTCGCTTTCCAAAGTCCCATTGAGACCCATGTCTTTTCAACTCACAAAAATCATTTTCCAATCAAAATTGAAACAATACATCTTTCTCAACGATTTATTTTTCTTATCAAAAATGGGGCGCGACAGTTGGCGACTCCACTGGGGAACTTCCTAAGTGAGTCCAAGCATTTTGACTTAACCATTCGTTTCCTTTTTCTACCCTTTCTATGCATAGCATGTGGATATTAGGATTGCATTTTTTATTTTTAGGACCTTTTGTCTTATGTACGTAATCAAACCAATCCCTCGACTCACGAATGTATGTTTGAATGAATGTTTACTTGTTATCTCGCGCTTGCATTGCATTTGGGGGGGTGTGTGTCACCTTTAGAGCCTCGCGTGGTTCTCAACCCCTTCCCTCAAAATAGGGAACACTTCATACGTGCACGTTTATTTATTGTTATCCCATTTTATTTTATTTTTCGTGGGCGCTATCCCACACCGCCTTGTAGGATTAGGATCGATCGCCTTGGGTAGGCGGATGGTGTGCACTGCGCCCATAGCGCTACCTAAGGGATCACTCGAGCCACCGATCGAAGGCCTTGGGAGTGATGACCCTTGGTCTTTAGGTCTGAAGGCTTGGGGACCTTTTAAACCTTATCGAGTCTAGTCGCATTAGTGAACCCCAACCTCATGCATCCATGTTAGAATCTTCCTAGGGTTAGAGTCAGCCTTACCCTCTTATAAGCACATTAGGCACGAGGGAAGGGGGTTCCACCCCTTTACTTGTTTTATTGTATTTTCCTTTCTTAATTACTCCCAATGTGTTATGTGTACTATCAATTGCACTAACCATTTCGTTGTTTTTTTTGTTTGCATTCATATGCCGTAGTAATAAGAGGCCCCTTAGGCACTCTTTAGCGACTTACCCATTAGATAGCTCACATGTTTAAATTTCAGTTGTTACATTTGATTCTCAATACGTACATTTTATTTTTAGACCTTTTTCCCCTGATGCATTATTCATGTCCTTTAGGCCATATTTGTCACATATTTACATCGCTTTAATAAATGCCATCATGCATTAAACCTTAGAAGGAACGCCAATTAGGCAATTTCCATGTTAGGGAAGCCAACCCTAATCCCATGGGTATTTAACCCGACCTTTGGGGATTTTGCACGTCTATTTTTTTTGCAATTTAACCTAAGGGGTAAATCCCAAGGTAAGGTACTAAAAAGTGAATTTCTCCTTCAGATGGCTCCGTGTCGAATGTTAGACCATATACCTCGTGAGCTGATTGATTGGAAGAACAACATGGGGCATGAAATGAACCGACTGTTCCCGTACATGGGTCATCTACCAAATCTTTTGAATATAACCCCGAACACAGCAATCATTCAAGCACTGCTCGAGTACTGGGATCCCAATGGCTCCATTTTTCGATTTAGGGAATGTGAGTTAACACCCACTCTAGAGGAGATAGAAGGGTTATTGCAAATGACTGGGAAAGGTAGCCCTATGGTGTACCCAACTAATGGAACTAGAGAGCAATTTTGCAAGTTTCTAGGTTTGAAGCAAGATAGCATGGATCAGCACCCGGATGCAAAATCATGTCCACTCGAATTCTTGTACAAACGATTTGGGGAAAGGGATTCTTACGACCGACACCATGACGACTTCTTCATTAGCAGAGAACAATGGGAAGGAAAACGAGTACAAGCCTTAGGACTAGCCTTGATCAGTTTACTACTATTCCCGCAAAAACATGGAAAGGTTACTTTCTCAACAGTTAACATGATTCAAAGTGTGTTTCTAGGAATCAAGGAAAAGACCCCTACTTTGGTGCCTATCATTATTGCTGATATCTTCACCGCCGTTACCGAATGCCAAAAGAAGAGGGGGTTTTTCTATGCATCCAACTTAGTGCTTCAAATGTGGGCGATGGAACATCTGTCAAAGAGAACACTGAATCCATTGGGGTCATGTCTTCCAACAGCAAACTGGGTTGAATCGCACCGAGAAAGAGTTATAAGATACTATCGAGTGGCATCTCCTAATGTGTTTATTCAGGAATTCAATGCATTAACTTCGGATAAGATACAGTGGGTTCTCGATTGGACGAAAGTAAGGGATCCAGCCTTCAAGACTACACAATTTGACTTCATTCCGTTAGCAAGCACTAGTGGGTTGGTTATGTACATTCCACAACGAGTTATGAGACAGTTCGGGTACCCGCAGAGAGTGCCAACCATACAAGGAATGGGACGTATCGAAATCAATACAGTTGCTGAATGCCGAAGTATGGTGTTGGAAGCTTGGGGAAATTTGTGTAGTTTGGACAACCTGCATTTATATCAAGTAAATAAAGTGGAGCCTAAGGTCATCTTGGAGTACAACGACTGGATCAAATCAATAATAGAACAAGGAAGAGAAAGGTACCGTCAGTCGCTATTACTTTAGAAGAGCAGAATGAGAAATTGAGGAGAGAATTGGAAGACCATCAGCTGCAGATCATGGTGGCTGACCAAACATTGGAAGCAGCCCGTGCGCAATTGAGGAAAGAGGCAAGGAAGACCGAGAAGTTGGAAAAGGCATTGAGTGCATTTGATAAAATCCAAGATGAAATTCGAAAGCTTAGTATTGGGAGTTCTAGGGAATCCCAACACACTAGACTAGCCAGGCATGAAGATTTTGTAAGAATGGTCAGTCGAACCATCAATGAAGTTGTAAAGAGGACTGAGTTTATCCATATTTTAATGAGAATTCCTGCTTTTATATTCACTTACAGGTTTGAAAATGGATTTTACCCCGAAGGCTTGCATCATGCTAGGCCTACCCTTGGCACAAAAAGGGCCCCCAAATAGGACATGCATCCGAATTGTTCAAATAGTTACTAACTCATGTCTTTTTCTTTTTCTTTTTCTCTTTTGAATAAATTGCAGAAATTCAATAACGATTGGTTTATCTAAAGCAGTCTTTTGCGTTCTCAGGTAAAATTTTTCAAAATAGCTTTTCGGAAAAGCCCCATTATTACGCGATCCCGAAGTAGAGCCCAAAGGAATCGTGTAAACATGAGTACTCAACCAGAATCATCCGATAAGGCCGTTGCAACTACCCAGCCGGAAGCTGCAAGTCCTGGGGTTCAGTTGACAGAGTTACTCACAAAATTTGGGGAAATGGCATCGGAAATGGCCGCTCAGAAGAGGTTGATTGACGAGCTTGTTAGTAGCGGAGTGCAACCTGAGCCTGTACCCGCTACACAACCACAATCTGAACCATTTGTTATTCCTCCGTTTCAAACCACATTTGAGGGAACTTTCAACCCGCAATATGCTTTCACCCAAAATCCTCCTTTCTACCCTCCTTATGGTCAAGGATTTCAGCCTCAAGCGATCCAAACATGCATCAGAACCCACCAGCTTTTTATCAAACCACCGCAGAGCCCATGATACCGGAGCACACTTTCCAAAATAAGCCTGAAATGGGGAATCTTCTGCTCCAATTGATATGAAGTTGCTCAAACGTCTAGATCGTTTCGATGAATTTATAAGGAAGAGCCAAGGGTTGAATAAGCAGGGAGTCCTGGATTATGATGAATTGTGCCTTTTTCCGAACGTGCAGTTGCCTGAGGGGTTCAAAACCCCTAAATTTAACAAATATGATGGGACGGGTAATCCCAAGACACATCTCCGACTATTTGCCAATAAATTGGGAAAGCCTGTGGACGATGAGAATTTGCCTTTAAGGTTGTTCCCGAGAGTCTGGAAGGGGATGCGCTTGACTGGTATTCCAACCTGAAGCTTGAAGACGTGAAAACCTGGATTGATTTGTCTAATGCATTTGTGAGGCAGTACGAGTACAACTGCGAGCTGGCTCCGACCCGAACTACGTTAGAAGGAACGAAAAGGAAGCCTTCTGAGGACCACAAGACCTATGCCAAGAGGTGGAGGAAAATAGCTGCAAAGGTCGAGCCAAATGACCGAGGAGGAAATCATACGTACTTTCATAAAAGCCATGATCCGCCGTACTTCGAAGAGATTTTCCGTATGACCGGATGTTCGTTTGCTGCAATTGTAAATAAACTTGAGGAGTTTGATGACTTTGTGAGAGCTGGGAAGATTGTCAATGTCTCCGCCCTTAAATCTCAGTTGGATGCTTTACAACAAGGGCAAGGAAGCAATGTGAAGAAGCCGCCGTTCAAAAAGAAAGAGGGGGACGCAACCTTTATTTGGAACCAAAACCCTTCACCTAGACCCCGATACCAACACAACCCAATCTACCAACCCCATTACCCTTACTACTCAAATCCGATCCGCACCCTGTATATACTACCAACATCCACCACCCTCGACCTCGCCCAAGCTATCCAAACCCACCTTCAGCCCCTTTTCAAATTTCTCAACCAAATCCACCCCAAAACCGACCACGCCTCCATATAACCCAAGATTTCCGCCTCCAAATAGACCTGTTTACAACCACCCTCAACCTTCTGAACCTTACAACCGACCCCCTGGCCGTACATTTACCAATTTAGGTAGGCCTTTAGACCAATTGTATGACAGTTAAAGGCCGCCGGGAAAATTGGTACGGTACCCCCTCCTACCTATCCATATGGCATGCCCGCGTGGTATAATCCACAAGCTGTCTGTGCTTATCATTCTGGGGCCCCCGGACATGCCACCTTGATTGCAAGGCGCTTAAGCATAAAATCCAAGATATGGTTGAAGCCGGGGAGATTGTAATCCGGAAAAGGGAGGCGCAAGGGCCGAACGTAAATAGGAACCTTTGCCGGACCATGTTAATACCATTGGGGTCATTATGGATGACACGGAGTATATGGAACAAGTCAAAGATTTGGCAAGAGAAGCTGAGGTATTTGGGGTCACAGACCAACCATTCATCATAGAGTTGCCATTCGAAGAAGATAACCAGCCTTTTGTTTGGATCTCACGCCAGCAGAGAGTGAAGCTTTGAAGCCGGTATTCATCGAATTCCCGAGGCAAGAGCCTGTTTTGAGCCTGCAACAAGTGCCGTGGAATTACGATGAACCTATTATACAGATCGGGGAAAATTCAGCTACAAAGAAAGAGGTGTCAGTGGTTACCAGATCGGGGAGGACTGTAAGTCCATTTGAAACTACTATTCCGATTCAAGCAAAGAATTCCGAGCCGCCCATTAAGCCAACAATCACCGAGAAAGAAGCCGTGGATTTCCTTAAACGACTCCAGAGAAGTGAATACAACATAATCGAAAAGCTAAGCAAGTCACCTGCCCAGATAACCATGTTGGATTTACTTTTCTCTTCAGACGTGCATAGGGATGCATTGATCGACGTATTAACTAAGGCTCAAATTCCGAGGGACATTTCTGTTGATAATTTTTCAAACGTGGTTGGGAGCGTATTATTCAACAAACAAATTGCTTTTTCTGACGATGAATTGCCGACAGAGGGCATTGGACATAATAGGGCGTTGTACATAAGTGAGGTGCAACGGGAAAATGCTGCCGAAGGTGCTAATTGACAACGGGTCCGCGCTTAATATCTGTCCTTGGAGTACCTTGGAGAAGCTAGGATTGCAAGACATTAAGCTGAGGCCTTCAGGGACTATCGTTCGAGGGTTTGATGGAGCTCAAAGGGAGCCGATAGGAGAGGCAGATTTAGTAATCGAGATGGGGCCCGCCCAATTTCAAATAACTTGCCAAGTAATGCACTTCCCGAGCATTTACAATATTTTACTTGGCAGGCCATGGATTCACAAGTCTGGGGCTGTGCCATCTTCGTTGCATCAATTGCTGAAATTCGTAGTAAATGACAAGCTAATCACTATCTTTGCCGAAGAGGACTGCCTGGTAATCACCGATTCTGGATCTAAAGAGGAGGGATGTCGAAGTGCCACCATGTCCCCTCATAGCACATCCGATATAGTCTCCGTAAGTTGGATCACAACGGAGGAACAAGCTCTCTCAAAAGCAAGTGTAATGATGGCTAAGGAAATGATTCGTGGAGGATACAAATTAGACAGAGGATTGGGGCGTGAACTGCAAGGGATCCTGAAGCCAGTGGAGATTATGGAAAAAAGGGATACATTCGGTTTGGGTTTCCAACCAACCGCCAAGGACATCAAAGAGATGAAGGAGCGCAAAAGAGCAGAGAAAGAGGGCAGGCAAAGGGTTTTTGACATTCCACCACTGCGGTATACTTTTCCACGACCAACAGAGGTTATCACATCAGAGGTTAATCCAGTTGAAGAAATTGAAGCTAGTTTGGCCCAATTGTTCGTAGGGCAACATTTGAAGATAGTGTTCCAGGCAAAGCTGAATTTCCTGATATCCCGAAGGATCAATTCCAATTGGACAGCCGAGTCCCTGCCCGTCGGAAGGAGTTTCGGTAAAATGAAAGGGGTTTATCATTCATATTCATGAAAAATACTTTTGCATCTGTAAATAGTTAATGAAAGCATCTTTACTTTTGACTAAAATTTGCACATGTAATATTGTTTGTTTTGCTTTCTTTTGTTTTGCTTTCAATCAAAGGTTTTATGAAAATGCACAAGTTGTTCTTGTCATGTTGTGTTGTTTATTCGCTTGTTTAAATTCATATTGCTTGTTCATTTGTTTGTTGTATGCTTATTTGCTTATTATCCCACATTCGTTAATTCTTTCAGATGGCCAAAAATAAAATTATTTGACCCTTTGGATATCACAGTTCTGGAATACGATAATGGCAATTTCTATATCACTCACGACTTGGAGGTCTGTGAATCCGAACTCCAAAGCGAGAGTGATAATGAGGAGGTATTCGATTCTTTTGCAAAGGACCTTGAACAATATGAGGAAAAACCAAAACCGAACCTGGAAGAAACAGAAAAGGTTAACATTGGCACTGAGGATGAAGTTAAGGAGGTGCAGATAAGTATTCATTTGAATGAAAGGCAGAAAAAGGAGATGCTTGAATTCTTGACCATGTTCCAGGATGTATTTGCGTGGTCCTATGATGATATGACTGGCATTTCAACTGATGTGGTAGTGCATAGATTGCCCACAGACCCTTCTTTTCCACCCGTAAAACAAAAACCCAGAAAATTCAAACCAGATATAAGCCTCAAAATAAAAGAGCAAATTGAAAAACAACTCAAAACCAACATTATCATTGTTTCCCATTACCCAATTTGGCTTTCAAATCCAGTCCCTGTTCCAAAAAAGAGTGGAGAGGTGAGAGTTTGTGTTGACTATAGAGACCTTAATAAAGCCAGTCCTAAAGATGATTTCCCTCTACCAAATATTCACATTCTCTTAGACAATACTGCCGGACATGAGATTGAAACCTTTTGCGATTGTTTTGCTGGCTACCACCAAATTTTGATGGCAGAGAGGATAGGGAGAAGACTGCTTTCATTACCCCTTGGGGTACCTTTTGCTACCGAGTCATGCCTTTCGGTTTAAAGAATGCTGGAGCAACA